AGGCAGGCAGGCAGGCAGGCAGGCAGGCAGGCAGGCAGGCAGGCAGGCAGGCAGGCAGGCAGGTTGGTTCAAAGAAAAATATTAGAAGAGGTGTGATTCAGAAAAGGAAGAAATAGGCTGAAAAGAACCAAAGAGATTAAACACATTTAAGGAAATGAGAAATGCATTTGATTTATTTTATTAAAAAGAAAAAACTAGAGTAAAGGGCCAAGGATATAGCTCAGTGGAACAAGCACCTGCCTGGTAGGCACAAGGTCCTGGGTTTGATTCCTGGTACAAAAAAAAAAAAAGTCTGGACAGGATTTTTTTTTTTTTTGCTGGCTCAGGCTGTGTTAAGGGTGGGTCTGGTAGAATTATTTATTTGGTACAGGGTCTCACTAAGCAGTTCCTGGGCCAGCAAGGCATGTGATGCTGGTGACTGAACCCAGATCCTCACAATTGCCAGGCAGGCACTTAGAACACTGAGCTATCTCCCCAGCCCTTGACAGGATTTTTTAAAAAGAAAACAAAACCTGGAAAAGAAAAAAGGTGATGCTCCTGAAAATAACCAGGGAAGAAGGGGAAAGAAATACTGGTAGTAAAACTGCAGACCAGAAAACCAAGGCAAACAAATATTCACTTAAAGAAAAGAGAACTATAAGCGATAAAACTGACATTTGGGCTGCAAAAGGGCATCAGACCTCATATAGTCTGTGTCCAACAGATGTGAATTCAGTCGAGTTTGACTGATGTTTTGCAGAATGTTTTCCTAATGTACCATATTGGTTATTTTTCTCTCCCACTATAATTCTGAACAGAAAAGAACAGATTTTATTTGGATTTCTGTAATAAATTTTTAATTATTTTTATATATTTTGTACAGGGTCTCACTACACAGCTGGGACTCGTAGGGATCCTCCTGTTTTCAGCCTCTCCAGCACTGGGATTGCAAGAGTGCACGACCATGCCCGGAGTTGGTCCATGTCTCAGTGTACCTGGTCATCACTAAGTAGTTCAGGCTGGCCTTGAATTTACTATGTAGTTCAGGCTGACCTCAAACGCACAGTGCTCTACCTGCCTCAGCTTCTGAATTGCTGGCAGGCATCACAGACATTCTTCGGAATTAAATTTTAAAGGTCCCCGAAGGTTTCATAACGCTGTACTAGCCACTGATTATTTAAGCTATTTTATCTTCAGGTGTTTTTGTCCCAGTGCCTTGGGAAGAGCAGCCTATTCCACATTGGCCTGTCAAACCCAACCAATTCATACCCAAAGGTGCCAAAACTGCAGCTATCCTCTCTGACCGACACGCACACTTTTCATTCTTCTCTGTCTTTGCACATGGTCCTCCCAGTACCTGGCTGCCAGGTGAACTCTACTGTGGAGGAAATAAACTCACAGCCTAAGTGGCATGTCCAAGGTCTTGCACACTAAAGGAAATGGCATCACTAAGCTCTGAATCTGTCAATGTTCTGGTTTTGGGGTACCAGGGATTGAACTCAGGACCTTGCTAGACCCCAGTTTTCAAATGAGATTCTCTGGCACCCTCCACGGAGGTAAAATATTCCTACACTGCCAAGGGAATTGTTAACTCTTGGAAGCACCTAAACGCCATTTCTAGGAGTACTTCTCAGCTTTAAGCATTTTTTTATTTAAAAAAAAAAAGTTTATCGAGCACCTACTATGTGTCAAGTATGGCACCCAGAGCTGGGGGTGCAGCAACGAACAAGGGCAGCGTGTCCGCCCTCTGTTTAGTTCCGGGAAACGAGAGAACGAGGAACCGATGTATGAACAAAACAGGTGAGAAGTGTTACAAAAAAGACAAGTGATGTGATGGGGGTGGGGGGTCCATATACTTTTTGTGGGTAGCATTTCTTTCGCGATACCAGGAATCGAACTCGGGACCTTGTGCTTGCCTGGCAGGTGCTCCAGTCGCTGTGCTGTATCTCCTGGCCCTGCGGGTAGCGCTTCAAAAAAGGTGGCCAGAGTCTCTCAGAAAAGCAACACTGAGATTGAAATAAGCTTGGTCTTCAGCAGGCATTTAGTGAAAGACACTTTCCCACCCACTTAGCTCGGAATAAGGCCGAAGAAGCAAAGGAAAAAGCGCCCAGTAGTCGGTCCGCCCAGGGCCACCCCGCGCCCCCAGACCCACAGCGAAGCGGGCAGTTCCCCGCCAGCCCGGCCGCCGCCGCTAGGGGGCGCCGCGGGCCCTCCCGCCCCGGAGCCGCCGAGCCTCAGGCTGCCCAACACCCGATACCGTACGTCCAGGCCTCCACGACCCGGCTACAGCCAAAGGTCAAGGGCAGCGCCGCCGAGGCCTGGGGCCCTAGGGAGTCGCGGAGGGCACTAGGCCTCTCAAGGAGACCGCGTCCCCGGGGCCACAGACCCACCTCGGCTGGAGGCCCGCGCTCCCTCCCCACCACCGCAGAGCCCACTTCCGGTGTCTGCAAGCCGGAAGTGTCGCCTCGTCCAATCCCGATCGGGCTGCTGCGCTCGGCGTCGGGATCCCGCCTTCCGCAGCGGTCCGCGCTCGGGAGAGGCGCATGCGCGCGGGACGGTACACTTTGACCTGGAGCTGACCTCGCCTCTCCCCCTCCCCGGTGGTGAAGATGGCGCTGTCCAGGGTGTTCTGGGCTCGGGCTGCTCTGTGGGGTTCGGCCGTCACCCCTGGACCTGTTGTCACGCGTAGGCTACAACTTGGTCGCTCCGGCCTTGCTTGGGGAGCCCTTCGGTGAGGGACCTGGAGACATTAAAGCCTTTTTTTACGTCCAGGCCCTCCAGTGGCTCAACTCCGCTGGCTTAATTCTCGGGGTTGCACGCCTTTGCCTCGGCTTTTTTTTCGTACTGCACAGGATTTGCACTCTGATCTCCGCTAAGGATCTGGTTCCTGATCTGTGGACTCCCAGGGCCCTGTTGTCTGCTCTTTTCCGCGTGTCCTGAGCCTCTTTTTTCAGCATCCCCCTTCCAGCCCAGGTTTAACCGCTTCAGTCTAGATCCTGCCTCTGGCCTCCGCTTGCAGTGCGGATTCCCCAGGACCGCACGCTTTCCAGGCTCAGGCCTCCTGGCTTCTCTTACTACTTGGCTTCTGCCGCATCTGCCCCTCTCGATCCGATTGCTTTTATCTCCTTGAACCCAGGATCTTCTTTGGAGTTCAAGACTCAAGTCGTATATTCTCTGAGAGTTGTTTTTTACACTGGAGACCCCAGGTGTGCTGGGTCTTCTAGGATTGGTTCCCAGATAGTCTTTTGATCTTCCTTGTAGGTCTTCAAAGCTTCACCTTTCTCCAAAGGCAGATATGAAGAGCTTGATCTCTTACGTGGTGACCAAGACAAAAGCGATCAATGGGAAGTACCATCGTTTCTTGAGTCGTCATTTCCCGCGCTTCTATGTCCTGTACACAATCTTCATGAAAGGTAAAAGCAGCTGTAACAGAAATCCCTGAATCGGTTTGCAGGAATGTCAGGGAGTTAGAAAAGTGAGATCATTCTGCTTTGGGGGTGTCAGCTGGGGTGTCTTCTGTTTCACAGATGTCTGTGTATTCTACTAATCCTTACAAGTTAGCCATTCTTGACAGTGTTCCTAGAAAAATGTTCTGAGTGATAACCTCTAACAGCACAGGGGAAGGAGGAGGAGATGGGCTTATCCTTGTTTTTTTTTTTTCGGTGCTGAGGATTGAACTCAGGACCCTGTGCTTGCCAGGCAAGCACTTATTCTACTGAGCTATCTCCCAGGGAGCTTGTATTTTTCTTAACCACGCTCTTGGCTAGAAAAGTTCCTTGTTCTGCGCAAGGGCAAGGACCAATGGCCTCACAGACCTACCCTGTGATTTACTCATTGTACCATAAAAAAATGCAACCTGATACTTTTCACAGACCTATCTTACATTTTATGTTGTACTGAAATAGCACTACATAACTTCTGAATGTTTTGGGTTAAATTAGAAAAATGCTAGATACCCAGCAATTATATGCATAGTATCATATATTCACTTGATCCAGACTGCCTGTTTCAAAGGCCAGCTTGTCACTTAGTAACTGTGCTACTGAACTAGTGACTTAATATCTCTGTCCCTTGGATTTCATATCTGTAACATAAAAAACAGAACCTACCTGATGACCTACCCTGTTTTTTTAATTGGATTTTATTGGTGCATTTTAGATATGCATAATAGTCACATTCATCATAGAGAATTTGTACCTGTACATGATAAAACTTTTTTCCCATTCCCCTCCCTTCCTTTCCACCCCCTCCTCTATCCATTTACAGAAGCTTTGTGTCCAGATTTTCTTTTCTCCCTCTTTTAAACTTTTCCCTTCTTTCCTTTCCTCCTCCCCTCTCTCTAGCTCCCCTCCCCATTGAACATTTTGTTCCTGTTTCACAATACCCATTAGACATTTTGGTCCTTACTTAAACTTTTGATTTTTCACATCAGAAAACAATGTAGTATTTACACATGTGTTTCTGATTTATTTCACTTGCATGTATGGACTCAAGGTGCATCTACTTTCCTAGAAATGTCTCCAGTGTATCTTCACATTGTTGTGAATAATAAATATATGTAAAATTCTTAGGACAGAACTGACCCATAATAGATGCCCAATAATGTTGACTATTAATAGTATTATATGCTGTACTAATAACCCTATATAATAAACTACCACATTATCAGTTCTGAATATTACAGCGATTATTACTACAGGGACTTGAAAAGTTACCTATTCTTATTTATTTATTTATTTATTTCCTATTCTTATTTATAAAGATAAGAATAACTGCCTTGTCTGCCCTCAAGGTGTATAACTAGGACCAAATCAAAAAAGAGTCTGGGAGCATTTTTGTTTGTTTTAAAACTTTAGTTATGGAAATCTCAAAGCTACACAAAAATAGAATAATATAACTTCCACGTATGCAACATCACATCATGTAAGGGCCACTGATCTTATTTATATACTTGCTTTCTCATATTATTTTGAAGCCAATCTGGGTATAATTTTATTCAGATATATGAAATCATTTTTTAAAAGCTAAAGTGCTGAAGAGGAGTTAAAGGGATGGGAGAAGAATGGGAGAAAAAAGGGCTGGGGAGATGGCTCAGTAGAATAAGCACTTCTTGCCTGATAAGCGCAAGGGCCTGAGTTCAAGGGAAAAAAAAAAAAAAAAAAAATGAAAAAAAAAAAAAGAAGCAAGGGCCAGGGAGATAGCTCAGTGATGTAAGTGCCTACCTGGCAAGCACAAGGTCTGAGTTTGATCCCTAGTACTGAAAAAAAAAAAAAAAGTTAGGAAAAGTATATCAGGTACAGGGATAAATTGCCTATGATTAATGTTATTTTATGTATATCTAGAATGTATCAATAAAATTTTAAAATGAAAACGTAGTCCTAGATATGTGTAAGACTTGTCACAGAATTGAGATTTTTAAATGCAATCGCAGAAATATATTGAATTATACTATTTATAAAAATGCTTCAAAAAATGTTTCAGAAAGGAAATCATAGTATTTGGCTAGAAAATCACAGGGCTAATGGGGCAAGACTTCCATCTGAGAATTGGGCATGGTAGAACATGCCTGTAGTCTCAGTTATTTGGGAGGCTGAGGCAGGAAGATCACTTGAGCCCACAAGCTTCCAGTCCAAGTAGCATAGTGTGGGTCTGTCTATGAGGGTGACCTTTCCATAGTGGAAGAACAGAAGCCCAGCATAGCTAGAAGAAAGGAATATACTAGAAGAACGAAGGATGGTCAACCTCAAAAGAATTTCAAGTGACCTGGTTTAAAGCTTTTATCTAAACTTGGGGTGGGACAAGTATGTGTGTATGTGAGTGAACATAGAATAAAAAGTTGTGGTAAGATTCAAACTGGATAACGGCACACTCTGTGTCCTCTACTTTAATGAGGCAGGATTACAGATGTTTTGGGCTGATGCCAAAAAGGCTAGAAGAATAAAGACAAATATGTGGAAGCACAATATAAAGTTTCATCAACTTCCATACCGGGAGATGGAGCATTTGAGACAGGTATGAGCCAGGGGCAGATATGCAGCAGTTCATGGTGAGATAATTACAGTTGGCCAGGGCCTCAAATCTTTTCTTTCCTTTCATGTTCACTTCTGATCATGCTTTTTCCTTTTTCTATAGGATCAAAATATTGAAGAGAATGACAGCATTTGATTATTTGTCAAAATTGTATTTATTCAGGAGTGCCACCCTCCGTAGCATAGGTCCATAGAGTTTCTGGCATGCTCTCTGAAGAAAGTTGTAAGCACTAGAGTCCAGTTTGTTTCTGAACATATGAAAATCTGTAAGGATCCATAGGGCCATGAGAACGTAGTATTTGCTAGTGACTTGACAAACTTTTGAAACTAAGAGTAAGAATCTAGGGCCAATTCTGCAGTTCAGGAAGAATTCACTTGAGGGATTTGATATGTCTGATCCTGTGTTGGATATTGTTTAGGATACAAAAGTAAACAAACCAGAGGTTCTCTCCTCAGGGACCTTACCAGCCAGTAGTAAACAGAAACAAACTTGGCCTTTTTATCCGGGCTATAATAGAAGTTGACACAGCGGGATGGGATAGAGGTATTTACCTGTTACATGGATTTAACTTGTGTTAAAAGTGCACCTGTTTTTATTTCTGTTTAGTTCCGTCAAGACGTCACCAAGTGTCTTTTCTTAGGTATTATTTCCATTCCACCCTTTGCCAACTACCTGGTCTTCTTGCTTATGTGAGTACAGACATGCTCCACCTCAGTATCTTAAGTACATGTTTTAATTGAAAATTATCTTAATAACTTTTCATTTCAGAAGCTAAGCAGAGGTTATCAAACTTCCTACTCCAATCTTTATCAAGGTTGATAAAAACTCAGTCAGTAATACCTTGGTTCCTGGTACACATCAGGATGGTAGCAGTAGGTGTTCTTGATGCCCTGGTGGTGTGAAGTAAAAGCATGGTCTTCTCCATCAGTCCTAGACAGCATCTCACTCCCTGAGAAGTGCTATTAATTTGTGACAATTTTTTTTCTTCAGGAAAGCAATGTATTTCATATTCTGATGTCTTTGCTTTTATTACTTCATATCCAAAGATGACACTTTTAAAATTCTATGTTACATATTGTCCCAGTTATCTCTTGCTATATAACAAACAACCTCAAAACAATAGCTTAAAGCAACCATTTTTTTCATGATTTTGTGGCACATGAATTTGGACATGGCTCAAAAAGGTGACTGATTTTTCTCACCCATGTGGTGTTGGCAGAGGTTCCTCAGTGGTAGCTGCTGAGTGGAGTGGTCTGGAGGGCTCAAGGTTATTGTTACATCTGGTACCTTAGAGGGGGTGGCCAGAAGACAGATTGTCCACTCTGGTGCCTACGTATGGCCTCAGTGAGTGTGGCCGCCTGATGGTAGGAGCTCTTACCTGGCAATCAGAGTTCCAACAGTGCTCCAGTGAGTAAGAATCTGCATGACCTTTGATGACCTTGTTTGAAGTTTAGACTTTTTTTCACTCTTTTCTATTGGCTGACTGAATCACCCAGATGAAAAGAGGACACAAACCTCACTTGTGCAGAAGAGGAATGGCAGAAAATTTGGGGCCATGGTTTTGTTTTTTTTTTTTTTTTTTTTTTTTGCGGAACCGGGGATTGAACTCAGGCCCTTGTGCTTGCCAGGCAAGCGCTTATTCTACTGAGCCATCTCCCCGGCCCCATGGGGCCATGTTTTAAAGCCACCACATATGCTATGATTAAAAATCAAATTGCTGCCTTTTTCATAGTATATACATTTAAGGACAGAGCGACAGGTAGGGTGTCTGCCAACTAATGTCCAGCTCTGTCTGTGACTCAGTCCAAAGAATGTTCTTCATGTGCTTCGATTCAAAAGGCGTTTTATCAGATGGCTCCATGCCAGGCTATCCTACTACTGCTTCCATTAGATCCCATTTCAACAGTATTGCTCGAAATTGTGCTTCATTTTGTGCACCTTAGGCTAAATTTATTTTTTAAAAAGAACACTGAGGTAGAAAAAGTGTCTCCATCCTTTTTCCCAGTATCCGTGTCTGCTAGATGCTTGCTCAGCTCACTTTGAAGGATAGTTTCCATAGTGATTTTTTTTTTCTTTTTAATTTTTATTTATTTGAGAGAGAGAGAGAGAGAGAGAGAGAGAGAGTGGTGTGTGTGTGTGGCCAGCTCAGCCCACCAGGGGGCGGGGCTGGCTGGCATGTGGTGCTGGGGATCGAACCGCGGTCCCTGATGCTTTGCCAAGCTTGTTCCAAATAGGTGCTTTAGACCACTGAGCCATCTCTCCAGCCCTCCATAGTGATTTTGTGATTCTTTTTTCTTTTAGGTACTTATTTCCTAGGCAACTACTGATCAAACATTTTTGGACCCCCAAACAACAAATTGACTTCTTAGATATCTATCATGCTCTCCGGAAGCAGTCCCATTCAGAAATCATTAGTTATTTAGAAAGTGTCATCCCTCTCATTTCTGATGCAGGGCTTCGGTGGCATCTGACAGAACTATGCTCCAAGGTATTTCTCCAGTTAACCTTCCTGTAAACAAGGCCTCGTGTTAGAACAGCTCTGCACTAAGGCGCGGAAGGAGGGCCCGTCATGACCTTCCTAACATGTGCCAATCTCTTGCCTCTTCCAAGATCCAGAATGGTACCCACCCAGCAGCACAAGATATCTTGGCTCTCAGAGAGTGTTTCTGTAACCACCCTCTGGGCATAAACCAGCTCCAGCCTTTGCAACTGGTGAGCACTTTGAGGCTTTCTCTTTTCCAGACTCCCTCTAGTTCAGCCCTTTGAGGTAATATTTGATTTTCTCTTATTGTAACCATCCTACTAACCTGTTTTGAAACAGTTTCATTGGTATTTTATCTTTTTTCTCATTAAAATGAATTTTTAAAAAAATGATTTTTTCTTCTTCTGCTGTCATAGAAAGCCTTGAGCCGGGCCATGCTTCTCACACCTTACCTGCCTCCTCCCTGGTTGAGACGTCGTTTAAAGACTCATACCACTGTGATTCACCAGCTGGACAGCGCTTTGGCAAAGCTGGGGATTGGCCAGCTCACCACTCAGGAAGTGAAATCGGTAAGGGCTTAATTGAGGGGTCAAGCAGTAGCCCACACTGGCCTGGAAGCTTACAAAAGCTCCTTGTTTTATTTTTATCAAAACTCAAGCTCTATTATTGTTCATCTTTTTTTCCTCAGTGTACTAGACTAGTGGGAAGAATTGCCCATAGTAGGTTTATTTTGTATTTCTTTTCTGCTAACACTTTAAAAATCAAGGACATGTTGGGCATGGTGGCACATGCCTGTAATGAGTTCAAGACTAGCCTGGACTACACAGCAAAACCCTGTCTCAAAAAGACAAAAAAAAAAAAAAGAATGGACACTATCTGTCTGTTTATTTACTTATTTTTTGTTTTGAAATGGGTTTTACTGGATTGCCTAGGCTGGGCTAGAACTTGTGATCCTCCTGCCTCAGCCTAAGTAGTTGGGCAACATTACACTTTAGCCTTCATGTTTCCAATTGGATAGGTGTGTTACTGTAACACACACCTGAGATACGAGATTTATAAAGAACAAAGGTTTATGTGGGGTCACAGTTTTGGAGGTTTCAGTCCATGACCTGGTGTTTTAGTATTGTGATAAGGCAGCAGCACAGCATGGCAGGAAGTTTGTGACAGATCTGAGCTGCTTCCTTAGGGACAACCAGGAAACAAAGGAAGACTGGAAGGGTGTCCCACAGTGTGCACCCCCAGTGACCACAAGGACTCTCAGGAGACTGCACCTCTTAGTTTCTGCCTCCCCCCAGGAGCTGTGGAGCGCTTTGAGGCTTTCTCTTCTGCATAGACTCACTATTTCAGCCCAAGCCTTTAACACACAGACCTTTGGGGGGCAGTTAAGATCCGGATGGTAGCACAGTGCTTCCTTTCTTATCATGGCCATCACTAGTTCAGCTTTCATGTGGGATGAAAGTGTAACTCATTCAAAGGAAATCTAGGATTATTTGTAGATTTCCCAATTCCTTGGCATGCTCACCACATGGGTTTTCAGGACCATTTCTCCTCTGAGTATTACAGGCTTGTTATCTCCGAGGCCTGAATTCTACCCATGTTGCTGAAGACAGGTGTCGAACTTGGCTGGGAGAATGGCTAAAGATTTCCTGTAGCATGAAAGGTAAGACACACTGCTATGTTTTGCCACTGAAAGCCAAGCCATTTTTATATTCTATTCTGAGATTATTTTATAGTTACTGAATAATGTGAAGCGTTTATATAACATGTGTCTACTTGAAAGGGCACCAATTCACATGCCTACTCCTAGGCAGGTGATGAAGTGACTGTAAGACAAAAGACAGGGCATCATGGGAGCCCAAGGGGGAGACCTACTGACCTTTTACTGTGGGGAAGCTACCTGTGCATTGTAGGCTGTTTAGCTATATTCCTGGCCTCTATACTAGATGCCACAGAACCTCTTTGCTCCCAGTTATGACAACCAAAAGTACCTCCAGGCATTGCCACATGTTCCTGGGTTTGAGTACAGGGAGAGGCAGAATTGTGCTGGTTGAGAACACTAACGATATCACAATTGAAGCAAAACAAAAGCACTGTACTAGCTGAACAAATAGGATCTTGAGGGTAGGTAGTAAGCCTTTTGGTCTCCAGTTTAGAGCCTCTGGCAATCTTGGATGGTTCTGGACCTTAGGATGTCAGAGTAAGTCTACTAATCCTAAAGTGAGAAATGTCCCTAAAGTGCCAACTTCTACCAGAATCCCAGTGACAATAGTGTTTAGTACCACTGCTACCTCTTGAGTTTTCTACTTCCATAGGACAATCAAGAAATAAGAAATGAAAACAGTGCAACCACAGGAAAGCACGCGTGCTGGGGCTGATGTGGAGTAGGGAACGCAGAGAACAGTAGCCACTTAGTACCACCTTCATGGTACTTCCCTTGCTGTCTCCAGTTTCAATTCCTATACACGCAGGCTGTTAGAAGGCAAACTGCTGGCCGAACCACTAACACTGCTGGTGTTTTCAGAAACCGAGCTGTCCCTCTTGCTGCACAACGTGGTCCTGCTTTCTACTAACTACCTTGGGACGAGGCGCTGAGTGAACCATGGGATGGACGACACTGTCCTGCAGTCATATAATATAGCAGCGTGGGACCAAACAGCACTTGTCCACGGTCTGTGTGCAGCTCGGTGTGCAGGAGGCCGAGGAGCAGGTGCCATGGCTTCAGTCACTACCCTTGTGGGTAGACATTCCGCTCACAGCTCAAACTAAAGCCCTTCTCAGGGGTGGCCCATGTAAGGTATCACCTGTCTGATAGTAAGCTGGAGTTGGCAGCAACCTAGTAGGCTTTTACCTTGATGGGTTACTTTGTTCTGCTCCAGGGGGAAATCATTTCACAGATATACCAGCTACCATATTTGTTGTAACTGGTGGGGTGTTTTGTCCTTTTTTTTTTTTGGGGGGGGGGCTGTTGAGGACATCCCAGCTGGTGTGGACATTACTAGTGAGATTGGATCATTTATATCCATGCATGTTCTCACTTCAGTGTTCCTTTGCCTCATTTCTAATATGACCAAAATAGGATGTTTGTCCACTGCCAAGGGTGAACTACTCTTTGCTTTTAAATTCCTTTGAACATTCTTTTTATATGGCTAACTTACTTACTGAAGGGAATGATTAAAAGGAAGTGCTGCTTGACTCCTCCCCCAGGATGTACAGCCTTCACTTCCATGCTGTCTTAACTTCTGGGCTGTTGGACGGTCCTAAGAATCTTTAATTCGTTGCTGCCTCCACTGTGTTGCAGAACCCAACTGTAACTGACAGTGGCCTTTTGGGGCCGTGGGTCAAAACCTTAAGGTCCTAATTACTGCCGGGAGGCAAGGAGAGGTCTGCAGCAAGACAGTGAGTAGGAGGTAGCTGATGTGCACCTCTGTGACCTGTGACTCTGTAATAACTTATTATAAATGCATGAAGCTGTTTTTAAACCCAAGTAAAGACTACTGAAACCAGCTGATTATCTGCATACACTCTAATCATTTGCTAAGACTTGCTGCAGTTGAAGCTTACACATGGGTAGGTAAGGGGACAGCAGGCTCCTGGCGCCCCAAAGAGAACATCCTACACTTCCATCACAACACAGTCCCACTGTCAGCTTTGATTCCTATCAGACCTAATTAGTTTTATATACAAAACAGGAGAAGCATCCTTCTCTAACAAGTAACTGGCCTACCAAGGTAAAGGATAACACATCATTCTTTTGAATATTTCTTTAATATTACATTTAAATATTCTCTTTAAATATCGCATTATCACAATGTAAAGAACCTAAAGGGGAAAAATTGTTTTCAAAGAACCAGACAAGCTTTGGATTCACATTGAAAATACTACCTGTGTATATAGTATATTAAAGGGATAATAAGCTTCATTTCTTGCATTTAGGCTTAGACTGAGCAGGACTGAAGCAATCCACTTCTATGGTCAGAGGCCTACCTTTCCTAGCAACCATGAGCTGTCATTTTGTCCAATTCAGGTAGCACCAGAAATGAGATGGGCTAGGTTGTAGAAAAGGCCTTTGCTTGACAAGAGTTAATGCTAAATGCTAATATTTAGCACTCAGAAAGTTTGTTGTTAGTGTGTGAAAACTTTTTTTCATGAAGGGATGGGCTTGGATGGACATTAGAGTTTTGCAGAAATATCAAATATCTTGTAGGTTGGCAATGAGTCTAATAATTACAAACTTAAATTCATTTGATCCCAAAAGCTAATGTCTTTCTTGTCAAGTAATTGGTATCTGCCCACTAAATTAAGCTGGAGCTTCCTAAAGAGAGAATTTACTAAGCTTCCTTTTCCTTCCCACAAATTTTTAGTTTTTTCTCTACGGAGCCGAATTCTGAGGGAAACTTCACAGTCTTGTGTTTGATAGTCCCCATCTAAGGAGTGTAGCTCAGTTTGGAAGAGCATCTAAATCTCAGGTACTTAAGACCCTCAACAGTCTTGTGAGGCAGTGGTGGGGAGAGACATGGACCCACGCACCTAAGAAAGAACTCCTTTCCAAACATAAAACCAAACAAAAACAGGAATGAACAGGAAAGGTGGAATGGATTAACACATACAGCTGTATTAATTACAAAGCCCTTCAGACTCAGATTTTATAGGTGAAATGCTGTTGACAAATACATAAAAGTTGCTTTAAGACAGAGCCCTAACTATCACATAAGAAAAGGGTTTATGAGCAAATAAATATGAACAGTTATCTCCCCTACCACTAAAAAGTTTTCACTCTTTTCATTCCTGGCTAATCATACCAGAAGTGAATGAAACATGGTGCACAGGATGCTAGAGAACAGTGTTTTACTCCTTACTGCATCCAGTTTAAAACAGAGTCAAAGATAAACTCTGACAATAAAAAGAAATCAGGGGAGTTCAGTGAAGCAGATCTTGGAGCATAAGCTGGACATAAGAGGATCAAGAACCAATGACTGAGATAAGAACAGAATTTGAGTCCCATCCTATACATTTCCAAGGTTACAATCAGATCTTGAAGCCTTTGGAATTTGGAAGTTGTGTGTGCATTTTAAGAATTAGTTTGGCTTCCAATCTATGTATCATCAAGATGAAGGAGGTTCAGTAAACATGTGCAATTCTTGGAGCTGAACTGGAACAGTATAAGAACGCTAACCCTGTATATATGCAAAAAGGATCACAAGGCTAGATAAAGGGGGGAAAAAAGATAAAACTAGTAGGTGTCTTTAGATTGCCACATTTTACATTCCACTTAAAGCTCAGATCTTTGTGGGGGGTAAAAAAGCAAACATGATACAAATCAAGTCATCTCTCCAGACAGCAGGCTGGTCCTGTGGCCTCCTCTGGACAGACGTAGTGCTGTGTATGGGCCTGCTGTGAGATGGGTGAGCTCCGCCGGAAGCACCCCAACAGAGCTAGGGATAGACACAGGCAGCAGCCTAGGGCTCTTTATGCCACATCTCCAGCCAGGCTTATTCTTTGTCTTCAAAGGAAAAATGATGGAGGAAAAGACAGACAAGTTAAATTCTAGTACCCAAGATCATGTGAAAGAAACACAGTAATTCAAGTTATAGATCAGGAATCCCCAGTGTGGGGAGCTGGTCCAAGAACACCCAACATGTCAAATATTAACTTATTTACCAAATAGGGATCAGAAGAAGGCAGGTGAAATTTTTAGAAATCCTGGAGGCTTTGTATAGAAGCAGAGACCCTTCTACCCTTCCTCTCTAGATCCTGCCTGGCAACCTTTGCAACTTCATGATAATGACACCAAGACGGAGTATTGGAATAATCAGAGAAATGAGCTTGCGCCCTCCCAGGAGCCAGGAGAGCAAGGGCTTTTCAGATTCTTGTGTTCTGGTCCCTACATAATGAACAGCCGCTTGAATTACTCAACCCTGCATGTGAGATCCTACCTCTTTGTTCTAATGGCCCAGTAAGCTCAGCATTGGGCACTGTGCGGCCGCCTGTGAGACTCTTATCTCCAGGTCTAGCTAGAGCTGGTCTCCTTGGTACTGTTTCCCTTTTAAAAAATACTTGTACAAACAATCCTTTCCCACCCGCTCCCCCAAAGATGCCAATAAAATAACATGGGAGCAGCAGCTGCTTCTATAGTCTTGAAGTGGCATTAGATAAAATAAGAGAATAAATAGAAAGTAGGTAAGAGGCAGCATCTCTATCCCCATGTCACACCACCAGAGGGAGTTCTAGGGCAGACTCTTCAGGGGGCTGGTCCTCACTCTGCAGGGAGCTCTTCTCTGCCCCAGAGCCCTCTTCACTGTCTGTGGGGAAGGGAAGGCTTGAGGGGGACCAAGAGGGGTGGAAGTCTTCATTCTCAGGCTCCTCAGCATTACAATCTTCTGGCAATAGGGTTTCTAGAGCAGGTGTTTTTCCCACCTCTGATTTACAGAGGCCAGCTGGGTCAGTGGGGCTGCAAGCCACCAGTGAGGTAACGGGGAGAGAGAAGACGCTCAGATCCTTCTCCTTTGGGAAAGAGGTGGTGCCTTCCTCCGTACCAGGCTCTCCTTTCACTCCCAGCACGGACCTCTGCTCCACCTGGTAGTAGACCAAGGGCCCACTGTTCAAGTAGGATGGGCTGCTCCCTGTCGAGGCCGATGGATGGTCCGAGTTCTCAGCAAAACACAGGACAGAGGAGCCTGGGGCCAGCTGTGCCTGGATGAGAATAGGGGCTGTGAGGCCTGGGCACAGCTCTTCGGGAACAGCCAGCGGCTCCTCCAGGATGCACACGCCCAGGCTCTCGATGCTTGAGTCCAGGCTGGCACTGGAACCGCTGGAGTCCTCCTCGGCCTTGAGCCGCTCCAGTTCCTCCGCACTCTGTAGGTGCATCACTGCGGTCTCATTCTCAGCGAGGAACTCCTGGAAGTCCTGTGTCTCGGAGCCCTGCATTCCCGTCAGACTGCAGCCAGCCGCAGGTGACGGCTCCTCCTCCGAGGCTGCCGGGCGGCTCACCTGCCGTTTGCTCTCCAGCTCCAGCTTCATGATGGTGTGGAGGTAATGAGTCCGGACTCGGATCGGATTGAACTCAATGCGCCCAGCCATGTTTCCGCAGCCATCTCTGGAGCAGCCACATGGAAAGGACATGCGATCCACCTAAGGGGCACAAGGAGGTTGAGGCAAGATGAGACCGTTGATCCAACAGACATCATCTGGCACACACAGGCACTTGGGATGTGAGGTGTTACAAGAGAAGCAACCAATTCAAAACATGACATGCAGTACGAGCTGACAGCACTAGATGGTAATTATCAGACTGCTTGCATTTGGATTCCAGCTCAGCCATTGATTAGTGGTACAACCTCAAGAGAGTCAAGTACTTCTCCCTAAGGCTTTGTTTCTGCTTCTAAGTAAAAAGCAGACAATGGGGCTGGAGAGATAGCTCAGAGGTCTTGCCTGGCAAGGACTGGGATTTGATCCAGGTACTACATGCTGTGCTGGCCCTGGAAGCCCAGGCACCATGCCGGCCACTGAAACCAGGCATAGTGGCACATGCCTGTAATCCCAGTGCTGGGGAGGCTGAGACAGGAGGATCACTACGAGTCCAAAATGCATAGTGAGACCCTGTACCAAATAAATAATAAATATTTTTAATTTTTTAAAAAAGTAGATAAAAATCACATCAAAGGCTCCTTCCAGTACAGCAATACCTCTCTGAATGCCAACAATCCTTAGAGAAGAAGAAATCTGTGTGCCTCAGGACTGGCAGAACTTACCTGGTTCAGTGAGACGAAAGGCTGGGCCCATGCCTACAGCCTTCTCCAGGACTGGTGTGGGACAGTAAGGGGAAGTCCAAAGCAATGTACACTGGATAACTAAGCAAAGACACCTTAGTATGCTAAGGTGCTAGAAGGGAGGCTCGAACAATGAACAGAATTTCCCTACCTGCTTGATTTTTTTCCCCTGAGGGTTTAGACTAGTTTAGTTCTGAAGCAGTTACCAAGATAATTAGCTTGGAGATATCTGGACCAGAGCGATCTGGAAAGGAGATGCTTTCTACCTTCTTATCTCCCCTTCATATCCCAAATGAAAAGCGAAAAATCCAAACACTACAATTAAATATTAAAAACATGAGTAAGCAAATAAGCATGTATGCAAACTCAAAGTCTTGCTAAAACTGTTCTCAGGTCTGTGGATAACTGATTTCTATGGGACTTCAATATAAAAGGCACTAATTGGCCCAATCTGCTACAGCTATTTGTTATTTGCCTAAAAAAAGAGAAAAGGCTGGTTAGGAAATACTGAACAATAAGGGCTTAGCATCCACATTCTCAGAATACAAGTCCGAGATTAATTTCATTCTTTAGGGTCGTACTGCTGTTTTCTATCATAACATGTCAACTGTCCCTTGTCATAAAGCACACAAAAAGATGCTCACTTTTTCTCAGAAAACAGGAGTTACGTTTGCTAGCCTAGATCCTGACATATAGAATCTCAAAGCCATTTTGATTTTTACAAAATGGGAATAGAGATAAATATGAGTACTTGCAGATGGAATCTATAGGTCTACCTCCTTTCTCTTTATCTCAAGAAATCCACTGGTAGGGACAGGGGAGATGGCTCAGTTGAATAAGCGCTTGCATGGCAAGTGCAAGGGCTTAAGTTCAATACCCGGTTCCGCAAAAAAAAAAAAAAGAAAGAAAGAAAAGAAATCCGCTGGTATTTAAGGAACAGTTACCAAGAGTAAATATATTAAGCCATTTCTCCCTTTGCTAACAGCTACTTCATTTCACCTCTGAGGTATGAAAGAGCAAAAGATAACAGGTGCCTCCACAGCCTAAGAATCTTGCTGCGCCTGTTTTCTTTGATGGTGGAGGAGAGCTGTGAAACTGGAGCACATTTACAGTCAGGGACTCCATCGCCCTGGATGGGCAGCCTCCCACCCTCACTCCTACCCACACCACATGCCCTGGCCCTGGGGCAGTATACTCACTACGCTGGCCACCCCTGACTGACCTGGCATTTAATCCCAGCCTGGCTACAGGCACACGCCTCTGGGTCACAGTACAGTCGACAATCACAACCACATTCTTCCCGAGAAAGACGGATGGCTCGAAGTTCTTGCTTTTCCTCAGCATCAATGCGGTGGACCCCAGAAGCCCTCAACAGAGCCCGTCGCCGTTTGGTGGGTAGAGGCTGCAGGAAGAAGTAATCATCCACCTCCACGTTTTCCACATCAATATCTTCATCTGAAACATCATCCAGGGTCAAGCCATCAGCCTCCACGGACTCCACTGTCCCATTCTTGGTCAGCTGCCAAAAAACATAAAGGTCAGCCTCCCAGTGAGTGGCACTGTACGCTGGACCTCTGTGCTCAGGGGCAGAGCTGTGCAGCCCCACACAGAGGCCACCCAAAATGCAGCTCCTGAGTCTCCCACATGGAAACTAAAAGGCAGAGGGAACTTCTGTGTGTGTGCAGAGGGTAACACTGGGGCATGAAACAAGGCCTCTGCCTGAGCTGAATCCTCAGCCCCTCTCCCCCATTTTGGAACAGGGTCTCACTACCTTGCTAAGTCGACCAGGCTGAGCAAACTTCCAAAGCTCCTCAGCCTCTCATGGCATACACGTGGGATTACAGGTCTGTACCATGCCCAGCTGAAAAACTGAGTCTTTAATTTTAAATTAAATAGGCTCATGTAATTAGTGGCTACCATACTGGACAGCATGGGTCAAGAGAATAAAAGCAAAAAACACAAAAAATCTTATGGGGCCCAACCATCGTCCTGACAACACGAGACATCACCTTTCTGGGTCCAAGTTTCTTGAAAAACTGTCTCATATTTTTCCTCCTGAAAGATAACCTGTTCCCTCAAACATTTCCTCAATCCCAGACATTTCCCCTAACTTTGTTCACCTGTTTTCTAACTCAGGGTAGAGAAGGTATATCACCAGCTGAATGTTCTTGCAATATGTAAATAAGCTGGTAAAACACCCTTCACCTTGTATCTCATAGTAGTCCAAAATTACCTTCTAAGGAAGGATATATTAAAGAGTGGTACCAGGCTATCAGGCCGTTGACACTGGACCTGACTCCCCACAGCGAATAATTATCAGTGCATGCTGAGAAGAGCTGCATTATACTGGTACAAGCAAATTATTATTAGCTGCCAGAGAAATCCCTCACTTGTAGCCCAGGATCTAGAAGAAATGTGCTTTCTCTCCTTTCTAAGCCTTCTTTGACTTTAAAGTAAAGCTCCATGCACAAAAATAGGATGGTATTGGGCTGAGAGATAGCCTGGCAGTCTAAGCCAGGGCACAGACAGGAGCAGGTGGACCCAGGTTCAATCCCTGGTACTACATGGTGGCACACGCCTGTAAATCCCAGCACTGGGGAGGCCAAGACAGGAGCAAGACCCTGTACCAAATAAATTAAATAAATGATTAAAAATATAAAAAACCAGAATGGCATAATACTGAATATGATAATAACGGACAATAATCTGGGTTTTTTATGCTGACACAAATAGAACCAGGAAAGAGAATGTGTGGGGCAAGACAGACTGAAGACAATCTGTAGCTAAATGAGCTCTGCAAACTCACTGGAGAATCCAAGCAAAGAAAACGGGGCCTCATGGTCCCTGGAGCTCTGGACGCTGCCAGCAGGATGGAAGCCGAGCAAGCAGAGTGTTTGGTTTATTTCATCAGACACCCAGCGAGCAGTGCTGGGAAAAGACAACTCCTGGGAGAGATGTGATGCAACAGGCTAAGGAGGAAGCCATACACCTGGCTGGTTTGGGGGCAAGGGTGAGAAATGAAGTGCACTAACGGGGGGCTGTCAGGGATCCCCCAGCCTATTGCTTCTGTCCCAGGCAGGCAAATGCAAGAGGCTTTTCTGTAGACCTCAAGCCTGCTCCTGTCTGTGCCACCAGCACTGGCCTCCTCCTAAGCACGCTTCCTCCTGCTAACCTCTCAAAGAAAAGAGAGATGCAATGGAATACTTGATGTTTAAGATGACAGAATTTAACATCATCAGAGAAGTGGCATTTCAGGTCAGTGAGAAGCCTTTTACTCATTCAATGTCACTGGGTGCTGAGGCAGGAGGATCACTGCAAGTTCAAGGCCATCCTGGGCTATATAGTGAGACCCTGTTTCAAAAAGAAAAAAAAAAAAAAAAAAAGGTACAGAAGAACTGAGTATTCTTTTGGAAAGAAAAGTTAGACTCCTAATTCATACCATTCATAATACGGATTCCATGTTTGTTTTAATGCAAACATTATAATAATAAAAATATTTTGAGACTGGGGGTAGTGGTGCGCGCCTGTAATCCCAGCTCTTGGGAGGCTGTAAACAGGTAGACCACTACGAGTCTGATCTAGTAGTGAGACCCTGAACACCCTGCAGACCCTTCCCCAGAAATACAAAAAAAAAAAGTAAATATGGGTAGCTAAAGCAGTAGAGCTTCAAAGAATAACTGGAACAACCCACAAGGAAAACAAACAGTAGATGGCATATACAGAATACATGTATTTTTAAAATCAACCGCCTCACTCATATAATGCCAAAGAGCAGAGACCTTTCCAAGAAAAGAGGACATAGGACCTGGGCAAGGTAAAGCAAGGCTTCCCCTTGGCATGCAAAGATGCTGCTGGTGCTCACTAAATATTCTGTTAGTGAGCAGAATCATTGACCTCAGCCTTCGGTTTGCCTGGCTTTGTCCCTAGAATTCCTACGAGGAGAGGACAGAACAGAGGGGTTCCTGTTTTTACAGATTGTTCCTCTACCAGATTCAGGACACAGGAGTTTTCTTCTAGGAAAAAGGAAGAAGGCCTTTATTAGAACTGACGAGAAGAGTGTTTATTTGCTCAACTGTTGCTACAGCAGCAGGAAGGTGACAGGGTCATTGATGGAATTCCTCAGACAGAAGTCAGGGAAGCTGGATATCATTCTAGTTAGAAAAATAAGAAGAGGCTTAGGAGCAGGCTGAGGGAGGCAGACAGAGCTCTCAAAGAGACAAAGAGTAAGATCTAGTTTTCCTGTATCTCTGTCACCAGTTCTGCTATTCTACCACATCCTGGTCAGTGTCACCCTCAACCCTGGAAATAACTGGCCCCTCTTTTAATATAGGTCAGTATGCTTTGAGATCACCACAAACCTGGGAGAAAATTTTATGCAATGTAGGAGATCAAAGCAAGGGCCTCGTGCATTCCAGGTAAGTGCTCTACCACAGAGCTACATGCCTAAGCCTGGACTAATTTCTGTGGCCTTAAAGTGTCCAAGCATGCTAAGACAGCACACAGTGGCTATCAAGAACAACCTGAGGGCTGGGGTATAGCTCAGTGGTAAAGCAGTTGCCTAGCATGCATGTGGCCCTGGTTCTACCTCAGCACCAGGGGAAAAATTTGGGAAAAAATAGCTATCTGAGTGGGTTGTTCTCCCAACCCCCTTCTCCTAACCTAAAGAGCTGGTATCAGAAGTAGGCACCATATGGTGCAAGCTAAATAACTATGTGCTAATGCTGCTGTTTGGAGGGAGAAGACTATTACCTGGGGATGATGGAGATTACAGAGAACATGTTTGTTTTTGTTATTGTTGTTAGGGTTTTTTGAATTTTAGGGAAGGGTCTACAGGGTGTTCAGGATCTCGCTACTAGTGATCCACCTGTTTACGGCCTCCCAACAGCTAGGATTACAGGCGTGCGCCACCATGCCCAGTCTCAATTATTGTCTCAGCACCCCCAGGGGGCAGGGCCAGGCCGGCAGGCACTTTAATCCAACAGAGAGCATTTTTGAAGGATTATTTTTTGGCTGGCTCAGGCTGCCATAAGGGAAGGCCTGGTGCTTCATGTGGAGCTGGGGATCAAACCGTGGTCCCCTGGACCTGACTGGGTTTGCCCAAGCAGGTGGTTTAAACAACAGAGTTAACCCACAACCCAGAGCATTTTAGAGAGTTTCAAAGTTCCCAAACCTGTTCTACGCATTCAGGAAAAGGAGGTCTGTGTTCCCCTTACTCCCCCCACCCCACACCTAGGGACTGAACCCAGGACCCAGCACATGCTAGGCAAGCACTCTACTATTAATTATATCCCCAGCCTTTTTAAAATTTCATTTTGAGTCAGGGTCTCACTAAGTTGCCCAAGCAGGCCTTAATTTAAACTAAAAACTCTCCTGCCTCAGCCTCCTGAGTAGCTGAAATTACAGGTAGATCCCACCACACCAAGCTGGGACAATCATTTGACAAGAAATTGAAAACTCTCCTCCTTTTGGTTCCATGAGACAGACCTAAAAGGCTTTAGGTATTCACAATTTAAATTTTTAAGGAAACTTATTGGGGTATAATGGGGTAAGAAAAATTCTAGAGAAAGTGTTTTTCTATCTCTAATATTATATATATATATATATATATATATATATATATATATAAAACCCCTCCTAAGACAAAAAGAAGGGAGGTTCAGACTGAGATTAGTTTCTAACTCTGAGACTTCTTATTAGACTCAGAATTTCTACATGGCAATGACACCAGTCAAATAAAAATCAATGAACCGGAGCTGGGGAGATGGCTCAGTAGACTAAGCACTTCCCTGGCAAGTGTAAGGGCCTGAGTTTAATCCCCAGTTCCAGGAAAAAAAAAAAAAAAAATCAATGAATCTAGCAAACACAATGGTACATGCCTATACCCCTAGGATTCAGAAGCTGAGACAGGAGGACTGCAAGTTTGAGACCAGCCTGGGATACACACTAAGTTCAAAGTAGGCTGGATTACATAGTGAGACCCTGGCTCAAATAAGCCTTGATGATGTCCTACTTTGTCTTAGCATACAGGGAAAAGCAGAGACCCAGGACCCCTTAGGCACCTTCATTTTCTTTGCGTGAAGTTTCTCCTCCTTCAGGTGCTCACGAAGAATCTCTCGATGGTTCACTTCCTGCTCTTGGGCAAACTCACAGAGTGTGTAGCTACGTACAGAGTTATGCCGCTGGGCCATGCCCAGAGAGCTACCCCCCTGGCTGGGCACGCTGGTGAAACCCTGGCGGCGGGCAAAGTAGTACACAGTCACCTGGTCAAAGCGCACATTCTTCCTCCGAAGTTGCTTCTGCCGCTTCAGGATGGATGTGGCTAAGAAAGGAGCAGAGACAGAGGTTATTAACCTAGGGATCTGCTTTTTGGGGCCCTCACCCTTTCTTATCCATCCTGGCTCTGAACTGTTCATCTCTACACCTAGAGAACTTTCTAATATTTTCAATCATAAATGCACCACTGGAAGGAGCCTCCCCTTTCCTCTGTTTTATTTTTTATTTTATTTATTTATTTATTTATTTATTTATTTATTTATTTATTTATTTATTTATTTTGTGTATGGCCAGCTCAGCCCACCAGGGGGCGGGCAGGCTGGCATGTGGTGCTAGGGGATTGAATCGAGGTCCCTGTGCTTTGCTTTGCTTGGCTTAGCTTGTTCTAAGTAGGTGCTTTACACCACTGAGCCATCTCACCAGCCCCTTTCCTCTGTTTTAGAAACAGAACCTTGCTGTGTAGCCCAGGCCATCTGCGGACTTACAGCCCACTGCCTTAGCTTCACGTGTACTGTGGTTATAGGCATGCGCCACCATACTGGGCTGGAGAGCCTTGAACTTCAGTTGGTTCATAGCTCTGCCTCCAAATTGACTTCACCTAAACAGATGACCACAAAATCTATTTTTAGACAGCAGATGGAAAGAGGATTGTTAGGTGATCTTTCAGGAAATAATAATCTGCAGCTCTACTGGCCACACGTGGCAATTTAAGTTAATTAAAATTAAATACATTTAATTTTAAATGTAAAAATAAAATTTTAAAATCAGGCCCTCAGTAGCACTGATCATATACCAAAGCTCAAGAGCCACACACCACTAATGGCCACCACTGAACAATGCAGATACAATAGATTTTCATCTTAACACAAAATTCTACTGCATAGTATTAATCTACAGCATGAGATGGCAAACTTTTCCCCAAAAGGGCCAAGTAGTAAATATTTTAGGCTGTACAGGTCATGAGGTCTCTGGTGAACTTCTCCACTGTGCTGCCATAGCATGGAAGTAATCAGAGACAGTGGATTAAATGTGTTCTAATAAAACTTTATTTACAGGGGCTGGTGAGATGGCTCAGTGGTCTAAAGCACCTACTTAGAACAAGCTAAGCCAAGCAAAGCACAGGGACCATGGTTCAATCCCCCAGCACCACATGCCAGTTAGCCCTGCCCCCTGGTGGGCTGAGCTGGCCACACACACACAAAATTAATAAATAAATAAAAATTATTAAAAAAAAAAACCAAAAACCCTTTATTTACAAAATCAGGCAGCAGTCCAGATTTGGCCCACAAGCAACCCCTGATCCACAGTACCAGAAGTTCTTTCCAAGGACTAATTAAGCTGTGAAAATTAAAAAATCCATAGGGCTGGGGAGATAGTTCAGCAGTTTAAGTGTCTGCCTGGCAAGTGCAAGGACCTGGGTTCGATCCCCGGTAGCACTGGCCCTGCCCTGGGTGCAACCTGCTAGCCACTGAAACCAGGCATGGTGGTGTATGCCTGTAATCCTAGCCCTGGAGAAGCTGAAAAAAAAGGATCACTAAGAGTCCAAGCTGTGTACCTTGGACCCTGTACCAAGTAAATAAATAAATATACATATTTTTAATGTTAAATTTTTTTTTAAAAAATCCAACTAGATGTGGTAGTACACACCTGTAATCCCAGCATGCAAGAGGCTGAGACAGAAGGATCCCTTTGAGTTCAATACTGGCCTAGGCTACATAGTGAGTTCAAAACATAGCAAGACCATGTCTCCAAAAAACAAGAAAAAACGAAAACAAAAAAATTTTAAAACCAAGAGTGGGCATGATGGCACATGCTTATAGCACCAGAGAGGCTGAAGCAGGAGGTTCCCAAGTTCAAGACCAGCCTAGGACAGTGAGGCCCTAACTACAATAGAATAAACCTCAATTAAAATATATGCCAAGCATGGAGGCACATGTCTATAGTTGGAGCCCTCATAGGCTACAGCAGAAGGATGCCCCAAGTCCAAGGCCAGGCTGGGTTACATAGAAAAGGCCTGTTCCAAAAAAGCAGAAAGAGGAAAGATGGATGGATGGAAGGAAGGAAAGGAGGACGTGAGGGAGGAAGGGAAGGAGGGAGGGAAGGAGGGAGGGAAAGAATAGAATTAAGAAACCTGGAAGTGCCCTGGTTGTCTAGGCAGTTAAGTATTTATATCCTGCTACAGCCACAATGTTCAGAAGATCCATGGAAATCTGCAGGGAAAGTCCTGAATTCCTCCTTTTTCAATCTAATACAACCATTCTGGGAATCCCCAAGCCACAAGATAAGCAGCATCAGCTCAAATAAATCAGACTTGAGTCTAGGTTATGGGAGCACAAAGTCCTCCAAAGAGCAAGGGAAGATCAGGGCAAACCCCATGCTGGCAGAAGCTGCCTGAGAGCAGCGAAGGGCTCTGTACTTCAGGACTGTAGGGTGCAGATGGGAGGGAGGGGCTCACTCACGTGTGAAGCTGGCAGTAGTAGGAGGATTGAGGCTGTCGCAGCTGTCAGCACTGTCACTGCTAGAGATCTCATCATCTGAGTTGGAAACTGATGAGCCCACATCCACATCATCAAACTTCCTCTTGAGACCCGAGCCCGAGAATGCATCCATTGGTTTCAAAGGGTTTCCTCCGGAAGCCAACCGGGTTGGCCAACGCCCTGCTCACCAACAGCTCGCCAGGTGCATTAGGATTCTGCCCAGGGGAAAGCAGGAATCAGCATTCCCATCCATCCTCAGGCTGGACTCCTGCCCCAGGGTATACACTTAGCTTTCTATTTCAACCAAGACGGCCTGTGACCTAGCACTGAAGTCTGATTTCTCAAGACTAGGTCATTTCTCTCTAACCAATATTCTCCTTTTACCTCTTTCTGCCCCTCTGGTCTCAGTCACTCTGAACAACTAGCTGAGCAGTAGCAGCACCCCTTCCCTCTGAGGGAAGGTCTCTACTTCCAGTCCAGCAGGGATTAGGCTTCATCAGCCCAGGGAAAGAGCTGTTCTCTTCTGATCACGCAGCTCTCTAGGGGGCCGGTGGGGGAGGAGCTGGGGACCAAAGGCAGAATTAGGTTTTGGCTACACTAAGACTAGACCCAATTATTTTTCCTCATGATAATACAACATCGGCATTTCCCAAAATGTGTCTTACTAAATACACTAATTCCATGGATATTAATAGTCTACATGGAAATATGACTGTTGTGTCAAAATAGTTTAGAAAACTGCTCATGGCTGGACACAGTGGCGCACAACTGTAATTCTACCAACTCGGGAATCTGAGGCAGGGGGGTAAAAAGGCCAACTTGGTCAGTTCAGTGAGACATTGTCTCAAAACAAAATTTAAGCCAGGTAATGTGGTACAAACCTATAACCTCAGCACTCTGAGAGGCTGAGGCAGCAATATTAGATTAAGTGCAGCCTGGGCAACAGGCTGATCTCAAAATAAAAAATAGCAAGACCTGATCTCAAAATAAAAAATAAAAAAAGGGTTGGGGCTATAGCTTAGTGTGAAGGACTATCTCCCCTCAAAAAAAAAAAAAAAAAAGAAAAAGAAAAAGAAAACTGTTCATGGTGGAAACAGTTTAGAAGCCTTTCTACATACTAATGAATGTGACAAAGGCTGGGAGAAAACAGAATGTGGAGCTTCACATAGTTCCAAAGTATGCTGGGGCAGATAATCTTCAAAGCACACTGGGAAATACTGCTCTGGCTCTCAGTGTTGAAGGACATAAGCAGTCAGGAAAACTCTTGACCTAGATCTTTACAAGTATAAAATGTCTCCCCAGTCTCCTAAAAAGGGCAAATTTGCTACTAAAGAAAGGACCCAAAATTAGAATTTGAGCTGCCTTCAAAAATCAGACTCTGGGGGCGGAAGTGTAGCTCAGTAGTAAAGCACTTGCGAAGCACGCTCGAGGTCGTGGGTTCCATCCCCAGCACCACCAAGCAAAAAACCAGGACCTTTCCCAATCTCATACTGCTCTATCATCATCCTCTGTGCAAGGAAAATGTAGCTTTACACTCTCTGCCCTCTGGAAGAAACCACAAGGAAAACAAATAGCAAAAGAAGAGGCAATTTATTCTGGCTCTATCGCTATGGCAGCCAACACTGTCAACATGCTTTCACATAACCAAGGAGTCTGAGATTTCATTTCCCAGGTACAAGTCTTTCTCCTTCTCTGACTTTGGAATTAAAACTCCAGAAGGACACAAATCTGCTTAGAAGAAATGTTGTCAGAGTCGAAGCCACGTGTGATGAGGTATGAAGATCTCTCGCTCTGCCTCAGCACTGCCAGAATCTCCCCAGACTATGATCTCACTAGTTGCTAATTATGCAGCAGGAATAACAGCACTGCTCAGGCCGACAGGGCTGCATTATTACTGCAGAGCAGCGACCCAAAATATATACACTGTGGCGTCAAGAAAGGCCCGCTACAGAGCTACTTTCAGAGCTACCTGGAAGAAATGTAGATCAGCTGTACAAAGCCAACCAAACCTAGTAAGTACAACTAAAAGTACTTTAAAGAACTTAGTTCCTAATCTATCCAGATTGCATCAAATTCTACATTCAAGTCACAAGATGTAACTAAGAAACCTCAACCATCATGGGTCCCAGACAAACAAGTTCCTCAAATAAATTTGGCCAGGGTGTGTGTGTGTGTGTGTGCGCGTGTGCGTGTGTATAGAGATATAGTATTTGATAAGATTATAATTAAATTTTAAAATATGCTTAAACTGCCAGTTTTGTTTTTCAGGTCATTATTTGAGGTCATATTCTGGACTTTTAAATGGATTTTTAGCTGTGTTAAAGATAGCTATAAACCAAAATTTTTTTTCATTCTGGGCTGGGGAGATAGCTTGGCAGGTATCTGGTACCTGGTAAGCACAAGGGCCTGAGTGTGAGGGTTTGATCCCTGGTACCGCATGCCCTGCCAGCCCTGGAACCTTAAGTGCGCTGTGCTGGCCACTAAAACTGGGCATGGTGGTGCACACCTGTAATCCCAGCATTGGGGAGGCTGAGACAGGAGGATCACTATGAGTTCAAGCTGCATAGTGAGACCCTGTACCAAATAAATAAATAAATTAAATGATTTAAATTTTTTTTTTCATTCTATTTTGTAAGTGGGCACAGGGGTATGGACAGACACACCTATGATAAAATACGGATGTGGGTGCAATGAAAAAAGTGTTGGCTACTGAATTTAATTTTTCCCTTTCACTTAATCAATACCTTAGCAACCACAAGAGAAATCTGGCTGAGCTAAAGATCTGCTTTTTCAGAAAGGGCTTCTTCCTGTTCAGTTTTAACTCAACTTCAGATAACAGTAAGCAGTAGATGAATGGCCCTTTCCTTGGCCAGGAAGCACTTGTGATTTATGAGTAGAAGCAAATGTGCACTCCTCTTCTCTCAGGTGTCCCTTTGCTTCTGGTAGTGTGGCTTCCCTTTCACTGTTTCTTATTAAGTCCCACATGGGTTTGATCCAAAATTACCTTTATTACTAAAATTCTCCAGTCTTAACTAGATTCCCCTAAGAGTAGCAATTTCTCTTCATGTTATTTTCTGTGCGTGAGAGCGCAGCAAGGATTTCAAGCTGCTCATTCCAATCTCCTGCTCTTTTATTTGGTGTGTCTTCCCTACTTCTAGAGGCTTCTGGGCAATGATGGAGATAGGTAAGAAATAAAAGATAAGAAACCTAGGACAAAAATATTTTCCTTAAACTGTGTGAGAACAATCAGAACCTTTCTGTATTAATTACATGCATATTGACCCATAACCTATTTCATTAAAGGGCTGGGGGTGTAGTTCAGTGTGTAGAACACCTGCTTGGCATGTTCAAGGCACTAGGTTCCATCCCCAGCACCACAAAAATAAACAAAACTACTCCATTAACCAGGTTATCACTCTGGAAAATCCTTAAGGAGACTCCACTGCCCCAGCTTTATTTGCTTTACCTAGGATCTGTTGTGATCACTTTCTCTTTTTTAAAATTTTATGTATTTGGTACAGGGTCTCACTATGCAGCTCGTAGCTCAGACTCAAGTAGTGATCCTCCTGTTTTCAGCCTCCCCAGCACTAGGATTACAGGCATGCACTACCACATCCAGACTCGGTGGCTGGCTCAGCGTGTCCTGGAGGCAGGGCCGGAGCAGCACGTGCGACCAGGGATTGAACCCTGGTCCCTACACTTGCCAAAGCAGGCGCTTAGTCTGCTGAGCTATCTCACCAGCCCTGGATCACTTTCTGACATAAACTCTATTAGTTAAATTTTTAAAAATCCACCTACTGTATACTAACCATTTCAGGTTTACATCTCAACCCATTTTTCTTTTTTCAATTCTCTGTTGTGAACTTGACATACTAGATACAAACGTTCATCGTGGGTACCTAGAACAATACACTTCCATCCACTTCCACAGCACCCTGGAAAAGTCTTTCTTTGAGGCAGTAATGACTAGAATAGGTTCCATATTTTCTAATTCACCAAGTTAAATTAATCTTTCAAACCAGGGCTAGAAATCAGTCATTCTCACCTCTCACTGGTAGAGGATAAAAGCCTGTGTTCATGATATACATTTATAAATTACAATCCAAGCACTTACACCCACACAAAAATAATCAAGGTGAGACTGAAATGTAGGTCATAACTGTCAGTCAGTTAACTGTCAAATGCCCAATCCAAGCAACAAATGCCAATGGACAACAAATGCATCCCTCTATAAAAGCTTCTAAATGCCAGTGAAAGGAAAGGTTATCTGACATTCTCTAACTTCCTGCCTTACGCTCTTTCATCAAGTGTTTCTGGCTAATTATTTCTCAAAGCTGTATGAAATAATTCAGATTCACAATATACAGAAGACACTAGGTTAGCACCAAATAAAACTAGCATGTGTCTTTTAGTACTAGATTGAGTTTTATGAGACATATTAGGATTTCCATAACCATCAAAGCAAGCCAAACACCCTAGACTATGTGGGGTTAGCAAAAGGTACTTCCCAGGAAAAAAATTTGGTGGAAGCAGAATGTACTTTTGAAGTTTAGATAATACAAACTTCATTCTTTTGTTTTGTTTTGTTCTTAAGACAGGGGTTCACTATGCAGTTCAGGTTGCCCTTGAGCTCACTATGGGGTCCAGGCTGCCTTTACAGGAGCGTGACACCATGTTGGCTAAACCTCATTCTTAGAAGCGTCCAAAATATTAAGATGAGGTACATCCTACAGGATAAAGCATCTTCACCTAACTGGAATCCAATCTTCTACTAAAGGTCAAAGTATAAGATCGGGACTACTGTGTATTAGCTATATACTTGAATTAAAAGGAGAAAGGCTAGCTAAGTGTTACACTAAATCTGAGTAAAGACAGCCTGCCCTGTTTTTCCTTTTAACTGTGACTGATTCTCAAATACTACGAATGTCATGGTTCCATGTGTCCTCCTGATCTCCAGAATCAGGAGCATATAAAATACTCAAGTGAAAACCTCCTGTAGGTGTTTAAAGAAAGTGCTCTTAGCCTCACTAACTTGACTCACTCACTAACAAAAGGTTTGAATTTGGCTTTTCTATATTTAAACTATCATCACAGAGAGGGCACAACATCTTTGGAAGACCCAGAACATGATGCTGCACGACTTCTCAGGGACAACGAGTTATTTAAAACTCTGGCACGACCTGGGTTTGGAGATTTACAGGACAGAAAACCAGTGAAGGAAAATGTAAAGCAACCATGGACTTACTGTCAATTGACAACCGCTGGACAAGGGGACAGTGTTGTCTCTCACGGACAACTTCTAACGTTTCATACCGAAGAACGGTTTGTGTGTCACACTGCCACTCCAAACCCTTTTAAAATAATGCATCAAGAACACTGCACTAAAAGGGATGGATGGCAGTGGGCTACGTGTTTGGGGCCTGAGAAAAAAGATAAAAGCTAGCAAGCAATGCAAATAATGTTTTAATATTCACACACAAATAGAAAAATAGAAAACATCAGGAAACATTAGGAACCAAAGCTAGAGTCACGTCAAGTTCCCTTTAATGAACATGCCTGATGAACCCTTATACTATCAACCCATTTCTGATTCCTGCTAACCTTCCCGCTCATTCCCAACGTCCGGAGCCCCAAAGAGCCTTCCTCATTCCTTCCTGCCTGCGGCACACAAATTCCCAACCACTCCTCCCACATTTTCCTTTATTCTCTCTCCCTTTCCTTCACTTCCCTCCATCCTACATCATTCTCCACTCCATTCCGAGCCTCAGTCCTCATCCGCAAACCTGCCGGCTTCCACGCCGCCCATCTGTCTCCCTCGAGCTGCCCTAGAGTCCGGGCCGCGCTCGCTGCCCCTCGCTCCCACGCCTCTTCCCGGCTCGGTGGCTTCCCAGCGGCGTCCAGGTTCCCCGCCCCCCGACCGCTCCCGTCCGAGCTTCCCTTTCTGATCCCTCCATCCGCGGGTCTCTGGGCTTGACCACTCCTCCACAGGCTCCCGAGGGCAGATCCCCAGAAAGGACGAGGCAACACCCTCCGCCCCGCACCCCCAGACCCATTACCGGCCCCGCCGCAGCTGCCTCCTCCCGTGATGGTCTCTGCCGCCCCCGCTGCCGCCGCCGCCCTAGCCCGGTGGGAAAGAGGGAGGAGCGAGCAAGCGAGTCCCGGGCCCGTGGCGATGGTCGGGGAGCTCCCAGGGCGGCAGGGCGGGGAGGGAGGGTGAATGGGCAGGCCGGCAGGCGGAGGGGGGCGGTGGGCTCCGGCAGCGCGGGCAGCCCCGGCAGAAGAAGCCCAGAACCGCCCCGGCTCCGGCTAACAATAGGCTCCGGCCGCAGCGCTCTGGCTCTTATAGGCGCCGGCACGTTCTGGCCGAGCCCCCGAAGCAGGCTGGGAAATGGAGTCCACGTACCGGCCCCGCGCCCAGCGGCAGGCCGGGAGTTGGAGGCGGCGAGTGCCGCAAAGCCGGAGCAAACCGGCAAACGGGCTGCAGAGGCGGCGTCTGAAGTGCACCCTGCAAAAATAAGTTTCGTGCCACTGCAGCCTTTGAAAGGGAAGGCAAGAGACCCTCAGCTACATATCTTCAATGACTAAACGAATTCTCTAAAGCTCTCTTTTCCGACCACACTCCCATGACTAAGGAACATAATTCTTACTCTTGCAGCTTAATCTTAAGCAATATCAATTCACTGCAGCCTGCCCAAGTTATTAAGAAAACACAAGCAAGTATCTTCAGATATCTACTTATAGGCTAGAGTCAAGTGTTCTGCTAACAAAAACATTTTTAAAAATTCATGGTCTTTGACAATCTTCAGAACTTTGCAACCCATCTTCAAGATGTGGAATACAAACACTCGAAGTCAGAAGTTATTTGTGACTTGCCCAAAACAACAGCCTTAGTTTCTGAACTCTGGTCTCTCCTGAGACTTAAGAAAGTCTGAAAGATATAGGTGTATTCAGTGGTTCCTCCCCCTACTCAGGCTACCGTCCTTTGTCCTTTTACTTTCCCCAGCCCATATTCTACTTAAGTGCACTAGCCCATTGGTCTTGCAGTTCTTTCAACAGGGTAATCACGCTCTTACCACAGAGCCTTCTGCCTGGAACCCTCTTCCACCCGCAGGCCACATACTTACTCCGCCTAGTATCTGTTGAAATGTCCTGTGCCAGACAGGTTCCCTAGCCATACTTCTAAAATAACACTTACTCTATCCCTTTGCCTCACATTGCTTCTTAGTTTTACCATCTGACATACTGTTTTTCAGTCTTTCACTTGACTAAATTCCATGAGACAATGGAATTGTTTTGTTGACTGTATTCTCAGTACCCAGTACAAAACCCAGTATAGTATTTGATATTGGGAGCACAGTAGATATTTACTGAGTTGATGGAGGGATGGATGGATGGAAGGATTTAAACTTAGAGCAGAACATATTTATAATCCCAGCACTTGGGAAGCTGAAGCAGGAGGACGTGGAGTTCAAGGCCAGCCTAGGCTATAATAAGCAAGACTGTCTCAAAAACAAAACAAACCTCAAGTTAGGATGGTTCCAATTCCTACTGCATTTTTCACTGCAGCCAAAAACTATGAAGACAGATCTGGTGGCTACCAAACCACCCCCTCTTTAAAATTATGAGCTTGGATGGCTTAGAAAAAATGCCAAGAATTCCAGTTCCCTCCCCTGGGTAACATCAGAGACTGCAAGCATCTAGGAGGCAATGGTGCACAATGAAAAACACAGCAGATCACAATAAAGCACTCCTTAGGGTACCAGGCACTGATCATCTCTCTCCTGGCTGAAATTCAGAGGCAATGATGAGATTGAGAGCACAGATCCTAGAGCTAGACTAAATATAAACCTCTATTCCTCCACTCTACTGTGGTATAACCCTGGGAAAAGTACCTAACTTCCCTGCCTTTGCTTCCTCATCTGTAAAATGTAGGTAACAATATATATCTCAACTTTTTGTGAGGTTAATTAGCTCTTATGCTATACTATGTATTATGTTTACAACCCAGTCAGTGCTGTTATTTTTAATGTTTTCTACTCAGTTGTACAGAAAGTTCTGTTCTTCTCAAAAAGGCCCCAGACTACTCTATAGCATGCTGAATAACAACAACAAACAGCTTAAAGAGCATGGTGGATATGCTAATAAAAAAAATGTGTTTCACAACCCCACACATCCAGAGTTCCAACTGTCATGGAAATTTGTTAGGGCTGGGCTGGGAAGATGGCTCAGCAGCATAAGCGCCTGCCTGGCATGGCCAAGGTTCTGAGTTGGATCCCTGGTACAAAAAAAAAAAAAAGTCAGGGTAACAAAAGCTCCGGTGTGGGCTGGCCAAATAGTTCAGCAGATTAAAGCACCTACAAGCAGGCTCAGGGTCTGGGAGTTTGATCCCTGGGCCTGCAGTGCTGGCCCTGCCCCTGAGGCGCGCTGAGACAGAGACTGAGACTGGGCGTGGTGGCACACCTGTAATCCCAGCTCTTGGGAGGCTGTAAATAGGTGGATCACTACAAGTCTGATCTAGTAGTAAGACCCTGAACACCCTGAAGACCCTTCTCTAAAAAATACAAAAAAAAGCCTCAGTGCCCAAGCTTTGTTGTTTAATGCCATCAAACTAGAAGACACCCAAACCAAGGACTGCTCAGACTGCTCATTCTTTCAGGAGACAGCAAAATTCAATTTGGCAGTAAGCTCTAGATCACCTAACAGGTCACCCAGACCTGTAGCAAACCTCACAACTAGTTATCATACACTTACCATATTTGCAGTTATACTACAACCACTGGATAAGTTACTGTAGTGGTGCCACTTTACCCATAACAACTGCAGTTCTATTCCAGTCTAAAACTAAGTAGGGCCTAAGAAAAGCAAAGGTCAGACAGTAGTTGTTCAGGAAGCTCCAGTGAAGGATAGAAATAGAACTTCTATGTTATTGAAATAGAATTGCAAAGAAAAGTGACAGAAATGCTAATATTACTATGTGAATGACACTGGCTAAGAATGCTGTCTCAGGCCTGTAATTTGGGAGGCTAAACCAGGAAGAATTTGAGTTGAAGACCAGTCTGGGTAATTTATTAAGACCCTGTCTCAAAACAAGAAGGGTTGGGGATATAGTTCATGAGAGGCCCCATGTCCAACCTCCAGTGCCACAAGAATATAACCTTGGGCCATACTCCAACACATACATGGGTCAGCTTAGAATGCACAAGTTGTAAGTAAGTGGTTTGTTTTGAGTAAAAGTCAAAAAACAAGAAGACAAGACTAAGAACAGGCACTGCAAATAGCAGCCACCGATGAAAAGCGAGTTAGATTTTACATTCTAGGCAGTTTATACATCAGCCTTGTAGTTACGGCTGCATAGTGAGGTGACTTTAACAGTCAATGATACCCTTGGTGTACTGACCAACTGAAAAGTTATGCAGTACAGAACAAAACTAGTTTCATACTCATTACCCCTTTTAATTTCTCCAACAACCCTATAATTATTCTCTCTTCAGTGTTGTCTGGTTTGCTTCTTTGAGATAGGGTCTTCCTATGTAATTCAGGCTGGCTCTGAACTCTCTGTATAGCCTAGGCTGGCCTTGAACTCAGAGATCCCTCTGCCTCAGCCTTCTCAGTGCTGGGATCATGGGCATGCATCACTAGGCCTGGCTCAGTGCTGGAGATGGAAGCAGGGCCTCTCGGATGCTAGCAAATTGCTGCTCATCCCCCAGCCCTACACAGGACAAGCTTCAGGGTCAAGGAAGTGAATGAAAATCTGAAGTAAAATTACTAAGATGACTTGGAAATGATTGACTAAATCCTCAAATGTAAAATGAGACATTAGATCTCAGGAAGATCTAAAAGCTGCAGTGATTAAGATGATAATGTGCCAGGCATGGTGGCAATCTGTAATCCCAGCGCTTGGGAGGCTGAGGTAGGAGGACTGTTACAAGTTTGAGACCAGCCTGGGCTACAAAGTGAGTTAAAGGGCAGCCTGAACTATATAGTGAGACCCTGTCTCAAGAAGACTAAATAAAGAAATAAAATGAATAATGTATATCCCATCTTAAGTCTATGAAAACAGATCCATATAATAAATCAGTTGTAATAAACATCCAAAAGACTTTACTATGTGTACAATGGCAGTAAATTAGTAGTACATATCACCTTATATAGCAAGTTCCCTTGTAACTGACATGAGTCTATTTTTTAAAAATTTAATTCATATACAATTTTTCAATCTCTGAATTTGAGAATACAAATGCCAAATTTGCAATTTCAAAGATAACACTGTTGACATTTTACCTCAGTCCTATGTTCATAAGGAACAACATAGGAAAGCTCTGTGGGGAAGAGAAGACAAAGGAAAAAGTAGAAATAAATACAAGTACAAGGGTGAAGACAAAGGCATTAAAAGAAAAAATAAAAATATGGGGGAAGAAACAGGTGCTGGTGGCATTACTCTATATGTCATGTAGGACACATTTTCCCAGCACATTCCGTTCTACAGCAGTCCTATAGTCACTGTCATTTCAGCCTTGAAGCTGATAGGAAACAAAAATGGATCGTGGGCGTGGTGCTGCATGCCTGTAATTATAACACTTAGGAGGCTGAAGGAAGAGGATTGCCATGAGTTCAAGGCCAGCCTGAGCTACATGGTGAGCCCTTGTGTCCAAAAAAAGACTGAACCCTGAAGCTTTATTCAGCCCTTCATGGGGATTTGCAAATAGTCCCAATCTCTGTGGCCATCCGATACACGACTTTCTCAGAAAACTTGTAGACACCAAGGGCTTTGAGAACCCTCTTCATCATGCATGTATTAGAAATTACATGTGATCAAGTGATCTAGGGAAGATCACACTGCACTGGGCCAACAAACCCAGTGCCTGATAGCAAGACTTATCAGGGTATCTGCCCTGATGTGGACTTTGCTTTCTCAGGTCTTTGGTTGTCTTCTGTTTGATGTCATCATTTACCAGCCAGTACTATAACACCATTCCTCTTCTTATAAATGACTCCTTAAATAAATCATTTATGTGGGCAAACATTCTTATTGAGCCATAATTCTGGACAAACAATCTTACTGCTTAATTGCCACAATTTATTCAATCACTAATACTCAATCCTTAGAGCTTTGTAACTAGCCCTCCCTGCTTTTATTTCCCAGTAACTCCCTTTTAGCTACCAAGTCTTTACCTGTTTTCCTACATGGAACCTATTATACTTCAAGGGGGCAGTACAGACAATGGTAAATGAAATATAATGGGATCTCAGTTCTCAAAAGGGCCAAAGACCTAACTATTTTGCTTTTCATATGCCCTCACTCTAACAGAAACAGGAACCCCTTTTTTCATTTTTTTGAGATAGGATTTTGCTATGTAGCTCAGGCTGGCCTTCAACTCACTATGTAGTCCAGGCTGGCCTCACTTACGGCAAACTACCCATCTCAACATACCAAGTGCTGGGATTACAGGTGTGTGCCTGCTATTATATTGTTAAAAAGATAAAATCCAATAAACTTTACTTCTAAGAACATATCTTAAATATCTTAAAGATATGTGCAAAAAGCTCATTAAGATACATGTTCAAGGGCCAAGGATATAGCTCAGTGACACAATGCCTGCCTGGCAAGCACAAGGTCCTGAGTTCAATTCCTGATAGGAAAAAAAAAAAAAAAAGAAAAAAGGCATATAGGGCCAGCCAGATAGCTCAGCGGACTAAAGCACCTGCTTAGGCAAGCTCAGGGACTGGAATGGGGTTTGATCCCCATGTGCTATGCTGGCCCTGCCCCCAGGATGCGTGAGATGGAGACTAAGACTGGAACCAGTGGCACACAACTGTAATCCCAGCACTTGGGAGGCTGAAAACAGAAGGATACCTATGAGTCTGATCTGTGTAGTGAGACCCTGTACTAAATAATTTTTTTTAAAAAAGGCACATATACAAATATGTTTAACCTGAAGTATATCCATAGGAATGATATATTTTTAAATATGCAGAATTGGGGCTGGTGAGATGGCTCAGTGGTCTAAAGCACCTACCTAGAACAAGCTTAGTGAAAGCACAGGGACCGTGGTTCAATCCCCCAGCACCACATGCCAGCCAGCCCCACCCCCTGCTGGGCTGAACTGGCCACACACACGCGACACACACACACACACACACACACAAATAAAATTTAAAAAAAATAAAATATGCAGAATTATAAATTCTAATATAGAAGGATGTTCAAGATATGTTAAATATAAAATTCAAATTGCAGATCATCAGTATATGACCACAGGTGAGTATTTGTATTGGGAGAGAGCTAAGAGGTAAAAAAAACAACCTTTCTTGTTTGAGTTTATAATAATAAAAAGGTAATTTAAAAATTCCATTTAATCAAATGAAAAAAATCAATAGCATAATTTTGTAAAGCAAATCAAGTAATTGTATTTTATTACTGTACTAATTCTTATATAGCCCTGACATAACTATAATTAATAACCATTACTATTACATATGTTCTTATATAATTAACAACTAGTATTGTTTTTATTGTTATTAGAAACTTTACAAAGCCTAAAAGTCAAGGGCTGGCCAGATAGCTCAGCGGATTAAAGCCCCTGCTTAGGCAGACCAGTGACCAGACCAGACCAGGTTTGATCCCCAGCATGCCTGTTGGCCCTGCCCCCAGGGCGCACTGCAGTGGCTTTTGAGACTGAGACTGGGCGTGGTGGCCACACCTGTAGTCCTAGCGCTTGGGAGGCTGCAAACAAGAGGATCACTAAGAGTCCTATCTGTGTAGTGTGACCCTGTACTAAATACACTTTTTTAAAAAAGCCTAAAAACCTAAAATACAGTATGAAGCCAGACTAGACTACTTACTGAATTCAAAGTCAGTCTAAACAAGAGCAAAAAGGGCTGGCCAAATAGCTTAGTGGATTAAAGTGCCTTCAAGCAGGCACAGGGGCCTGTGGTTTGATCCCTGGGCCTGCTGTGCTGGTCCTGCCCCTGGGGCAAGCTGAGATGGCAATTGAAACTGGGTGTGGTGGTGCGCGCCTGTAATCCCAGCTTTTGGGAGGCTGTAAACAGGCAGCTCACTATGAGTCCAATCTAGTAAGACCCTGAACACCCTGTAGACCTCTCCCTAAAATACAAAAAAATGAATAAATAAGCAAACAACCCCCTAAAAGTGTTGTACAAATTCATTTCCACAAATGTGAAAACTACTCTAACAAAACCCTGATAGAAGTAAAATTAGTAAGTGTAATTTATAGTCAATATATTAATACAATTCTATGCATCATGTGCAGTACTGTGCAGGACCAAGAATCATAAATTCACAGATTTGGAAGAGATGTTAAAAATCGCCTAGTCCAACCCTCTATCCTAACATCAACAGCCTGCTAGGGAGAGTAACACAGGCATCCTGAGAGCCAGTCCTAGGAATATGATACAACTAGAAATGTCTTCCAAAAATGGGAACATCTGGTAATCACTAGAAAAAATGTTGTGCTAATGTCAAATTCCTTAGGTCAGTTTTGCATGTCATCCGTGCGCATGGGCCATGCTCATCTTCTCTGTATCGTTCCAATTTTAATATATGGTCTGCCGAAGTGAGCACTCCATAGATCAGTTTTAAACAGCTTTTGACTAAATTTTCAAGTTTTAAGGTTTTCACTTTCTTTCACACCAAGAAAAATTATAATATGTTGCAGGTAATTTTAATGAAAAATTTTTGCATGAAAAGTTTAACTTTGTCAGATGCTTTAAACACACACACACACACACACACACACACACACACACACACACACTCTCTCTCTCTCCAAATTCCATACAGAATCTTTTTTTTTTTTGCGGAACCAGGGATCGAACTCAGGCCCTTGAGCTTGTCAGGGAAGCGCTGATTCCACTGAGCCATCTCCCCGGCGCCCCCATACAGAATCTTTTAACATTATCTTTTTTTACCTCAATTTAATCTGTAAAGAGATTTTTGGGTAAAACTACATGTGAAAAAAGTTCATGATGCTACACATTTACACATGCGTACACACATACCATCATTCTCAAGGAGGACACAAAAATGTATGGTAAGATTGTGAATGGAGCAGGAATAAGTTTCTTGTAAAGCTTATACAAAAAACACTGTATGAGTAAAAGAACTTCCTAAACCAAAAGGGATGGAAAAGAGGGAAAAGCAGGGATTGGCTTAACTCATTTATAAATAAATATTTTGAAAAAATAAAATAGTTTGAGAATGTCATCCAAGAAAAAGGAGGGCTGGGGAGATGGCTCAGTGGAATAAGCGCTTCCCTGGCAAGTGCAAGAGCCTGAGTTCAATCCCTAGTTCCACCAAAAAGAAAAAAAAAAGAACAATGACTTTTGAGAGTTATGGATCAGCCTGAGTTTTCATCATCTCAAATTCTGTGATTCTGGTAACTGATGACACTTTAAAAAGCATTCCATTTTTCTGCAGGTCTTGATTTGTTCATCATTGTTTAGATGTGGTTTATCTCCTTCTGTCGTTCATTCCTCAGTTCTCCAGAAAAGCCACAATAAGAAATGATGGTGAGCACAGGACAGAAAGGCTGGCACTGGCGATAGTGAATAGTGAATAATAACAGCCAGGGAGTCTGGATTTGAATTTCAAAATCACTGTTTGCTAGCTGACTGTTAGCTAGCAAGCTACCTAGCTACTTTATGTCTCTGTTTCCTCATCATCACCTAGAGAACCCTACTTCATATGGGGTTATTAAGATGATGTAAGAAGATGACCCTTTTGGAGACTTATCACACTGCCTGGCTCCAGTATTAGCCAAAATGACCATTAGTTGTAACATTATAGGCAAACCAAAAGAAAAACTCTATCTTTATTTCTCCTCATTGATGAAGTTTTCAGGGACCAACCGTGACATTAAAAACAGAGATGAAAACACATCTGATGCAAAAAGAGATTGAGGACCCAGTCTTACAAATATAGATGTTCATTTTTATATTAGAAAAAATTATATGGCTCCATATCACAAAATTTAACATTTTTCTATTAAACATCACACAATTCCCATCATCACGATGACCTACATAATACTAAACAATGCAGTTTCTATTGATATTAGACAACAGGGCCAGAATTTCAACTAAAAGATAACTGCAGAATTCCACATTGGGCAGTAATCTGTGTGTGTGAAAAAGAGCTTGGGGCAACAACACACATGGATGGGACTCTGCAGCCAGTGCTACATCCCCCCACAGTCAGATGAGCCAGGTTCCTGCAGACCTTCAGACCAATTCTCCACTGATGTCCTCTCAAGGGGGCAGTGTTCAAGAGGCGAAGGAAGCAGCAGCCATTGAGAGTAAGATGGCCCGTTCCTACTTCAGTATAATATGATAGCTGTCATTGGTTTCTGCTGTTAAAAGACAAGAGAAAAAATAATAATTTTTAGTACCTTTAAAACACAGCAGGAGAAAAAAAAAAAAAAAATCCGTGGTAGGTTCTTGTGAAGGGAACAAAGCCAGAGCAAGAGAAGAGCGGCACACTCGTTGCTGTATTTAGCACAGAGTACTTGCACAGATGGTCCCCCACTCCGATGATGCCATTTATGATTCTTTGACTTCACAGTGATCCAAATGTGGTACGTCTTTAGTAGAAACTATAGTTTAAATTTTGATCTTTTCAATAATGTGGTATGATATTCTTTTACAATGTCAGGTAGTGGCAATTAGCCATAAGATCACCTGGGCAAATAACTGACATTCTGTAAGGTACTGTGTTGCCAAGGTACAACAGGTGTATTAAATGCATTTTCAGCTTCCAATCATAACCCCATCATAAATCAAGGAACATCTATAATACACATTAGACAATATACCTTGATTCTTCATTTGTCCACACAAGATGGAGGAGATGGTTAGCATTATTAGGTGTACTTTGTCTACTCTGAGGGTGGCAAGAAGCCAACTCACACAAAGGAACAATCTGTAACAATGCTATTTTATCAACTTAACAAATGGTTCCTTCCTTGTCCCACTCAAAAAAATAAAACATGAATAAAGCTTTTTTTTGGGGGGAGGGGTGAAGAGCAGTACCAGGGACTGAATCCAGGACTGGGTACATGCTAAACACATATTCTACCACATAGAGCTACACTCTAGACTGTAAAGTGCCATTAAACTCCTTAGAAAAAAGTTGTCTGTCTTACTGTGTTATTACCTTTCATTGTGTCCAGAATAAAACATGCTTCTTCCTGAAAGTTCTGTATCATCTGGAAAAGGCAAAAAATTTGCTGATTATTAAATACACTGGTTTGCTTCATTCATTTTTACCATGTCAATGTTCATGATTTTAGATTTAGGTACAATATAATCTTGCTCTAGTTCTGTGTTCCTACGGACTATCCCACATCCAAAGGGGTTTATATGAATTTCTATAGAAGTGTATAAATGTTTTTCACCCAATTTTGAAAACAATGCTTCATAATCCTGTTTGATGTTTGTTTTGAGTTTTTTCCTTTCCATGTTTAATGTTTATCTAGAACAACAGTCTTTAAAGTGGAGTATGTGTTTCCCTGGAATAATACTTAATACCAACACTTTCCAAGGGATACAAAGATAGCAATAGTGCTACATAGAAGAACTGAATTCTAGTTTTCAGTTTCCCTATACTATATATTCCTCACTAAGAACTCCTTACCTTTCCTTTCTCAAGTCTCCGTCTGCCAATTTGCAAACTAAAAACAAGGAGTTCCACCTTTCTAGAATCCTATTAAGGTATTCTGCCTAAGGTATAAAAGCCTCAGAGTGCTGAAGTGAAACTGCAAAGGTAAACTATAATAACGGATAACAAATCCTCATGAGTCACAAGAATTGAAGAGTGACCTAATCACAGACTGTCAAGTGACAAATGACTCAAAATATTTTTTGGTAACATCCTTATGTAATTTTTAGCACATAACTCAGAAGTTAAAAAAAAAATCCAGGGTCTTCTAATAAGATTCTATCCATCTATCAATTTAGGTGAATCAGGTTCCACAGCACTTATATTTAGAAGGAAAAACAGGGTGAAACTGATGCTGACCTCTAGGTCCTGGTAAGTAGTAGGCAGAATTCACTGACAAAGGAACTGTGATTTTTTTTTTTTTTTTTTTTTTTTTTTTTTTTGGCGGAACTGGGGATTGAACTCAGGCCCTTGCGCTTGCCAGGGAAGCGCTTATTCTACTGAGCATCTCCCAGCCCCAGGAACTGTGCTCTAATTGTGTTGATTCCATCAATAGCATTAATAGTGACATGCCTAATAAACTTCTTTTGGTAGCATTGGGGACTATATCCAGGACTGTATCTCAAGCATGCTAAGCTCTCTCCCACTGAGCTACATCTCTAGCCCTTTTAATTTTATTTTGAGGCAGGGTCTTACTATAGCCAGGCTGGTCTCAAACATGCTAACCTACCTCCACCTCTCCCAACTGGTAGGCATAACAGATACGCATCAGTATTTCTACCTAATAATTATTTCCTTTTTCGCTTTTTGGTTACTAGGGATTGAACTCAGAGTCTTGTATATGCTAAGCACATGATGTACCACTGAGCTATATCCTAGCCCTTTTTCTTAATATTTAGTAACTACTTTGTTTGTTAAAATCAATTTTATAACTATGAAATCTAGTCCGAAGACGTGATTTTCAACTTTTATTGAGACAAAATTCTTGGCTAAAATAAACTTTGTTTCAAAGGAATATGGTGGGGCTGGTGAGATGGCTCAGTTGTCTAAAGCACCTACTTGGAACAAGCTTAGTGAAAGCACAAGGACCACAGTTCAATCCCCCAGCACCACATGCCAGCCAGCCCCGCCCCCTGGTGGGCTGAGTTGGCCATACACACACACACACACACACACACACACACACACACACACACACACACACAAATAAATAAAAAAATTAAAAAAAAACAAACAAACAAACAAAAAAAAAGGAATATGGTGGGACAATCAATTGAAGATGTTCAAGCATAAAAAGTTATGGTAAGAGAAAAGTCAATGAAAAAAGTGAATGGAAACAGGAGTTATAGAAAACAGGATGTGATTGCTTATAGACGGGAAGTCAGAAACTTAGTTCTACTTCCCATCTTGCAAGATGGTGGGTGAAAAAACTGAGAAGCCAGACCCTAAAGAGAAGAAACCCGAAGCCAAGAAGGCTTCTGCCAGTGGTACTGGTAAAAAGGGTAAGGTGAAGGCAAAAAAGTCCAAGAAGGGGCGGCCCCACTGCAGCCAAAATCCTGTCCTGGTTAGAGGAGTTGGTAGATACTCCCGATTCTGCTAATTCCAGAAAGGCTTTGTACAAGACAAAGTACACAGCTGCTAAATCAAAGGCTGAGAAGAAAAAGAAGCAGAAAATTCTTGCTACGATCACAAAACCTGTCAGTGGGGACAAGAATGGAGGTACCCAGGTGGTTAAGCTTCGAAAAAATGCCTAGATAACTACCCTACTAAAGATGTGCCCTGAAAGCTCTTGAGCCACGGCAGGAAACCCTTCAGCAGCATGTGAGGAAACGTAGAGCTAGCATCACTCCCGCCAGCATCTTGATCATCCTCACAGGGCATCACAGATGCAAGAGAGTGGTTTGC